CAAAATAACTTTCACGACAAAAACCCTTAAAATCATTGTATTTAATTTTTATTAATACACAAAATATTATTTTAATAACCTAAAAGTACCTAAATGTTATTATCCGCAACACGCTTCGTCAGATTACAGAAATAGAGTTATCAGCAACATGCTTCGTCAAAAAGTACAATACTTATTTTCAGATACAAGCGTCGTCATAAGTATATAACATATAGGTCCACGCTAACAGCAATGCGCGCGTAGGCATCGGCTACTCAAACAACTCTCAAAATGTTTGGACATGTGAAGTACTAGAAGTTATTGATGGATAGCCTCTGGTAAACTTTTAGCTCGTTAAGGACGCAACCGTTCATCCGGAAAGATTTCCAAGGGATGCTCAACATGCGCCGCCAGCACCACATCTCAAGCGCGTCTATGCGTCGTCTGTCAGACTCTTTTAAGGTCCAGGTCTAGGCGCCATACAAAATGATTAGGAAAACGAGCGTAAATAATATTAGAAAAAATTCTAATCGAAGCATAAACACCTGTAGTTTCAGTTGGTAGATTTTTCGTGTACCCGTAATCAAACTCAACTCAAAGGCGTACCGCATAGATAGGTCAATTGATTTAAAATTGAAATACACTGCGTGCTATGCAAACAAAATTTTGGAAATATTTTCAAATGTGATTTTTACTGATATCAGTCAGTTTTAATTTATCAGTCTTACCTACGTTTTTGAGAACGTTTGTTTTTTAGTTTTCTGTCGGTATATTATATTATGTATTTCGTGAATCATCATAGGTAAAACGGACATTTTATTGCTGCTTTTCCATGCTTAATAAGTATATTAAACATGGCTGCACTGCAGTATCCTTGATTTGGAAACAGACATGATTTTATTGGTTTTCCTGAAGCTATTAACATTCAAAAACCCAAAATAAACATTAATTGTTTACCAAGGCACGACTGTCACTACACAAACACAGGTTTTTAATCGGAATTGAAAAAAATACGTATATTTCCCAAGTTCATCCTCAAGCAATCAAATTAAAATAATGGCACCCTTGTCTCCATACCGACACACAGCGTAAGAAGTCAATTCAATTAAGTAAATCCTTTAATAAGCAAATAGGGTGAGGTGAGGCGGGTCCGCGCGTCGAGATCAAAGCGTTCTAGATGGCCCTCTCTGCCCCTCGTCACGGACCTGATAATAAAAAGAACTACTTGAAATGCGTCACATTTACTCGAGTTTCAGCCACTGATTTTCTTTCTTTTAGAGTACACAATATGGCAAATTCAATGTTTGTATATTTTTTTAAATAAAAACACACATTAAAATCAAGATTGCTTTTCCAAAGTCAGCAATGGAACGCTGTTTCTTATGTCTTGTCTATTATTATTATTTTTAAAGTGATATACCTATAAACCTGAACTATAGCCATTTGATAACCACCGCCGGGCATAATAAGGTTCGATCGCCCGTCATTTTCGTCCACGTCCGCTTTTATGAATTATACCTGTGTATTTACGTGTAATTAACACACTTTAATGAGTATTAATTAAATTAGACTTGAATCTAACAAAAAAGTAAGGCATATTTTAAATATTACATTATTAAAATTACTTTTACATTATTATTAAAATTACTTTTACGATTTTTCTCGCGTTTTTTATTGTCACTGTATTCTTTCTGACTTCTCGAATGCAGTAATGTACACCGAGATTAGACTGTAAATAGGTCTGTGTTAATTATGTAAATGACTTTTCGAAACTCAAAGAGAATTTAATACAAAACGAATTTGTATCAATTATAGATCTTTAGATATGTATTTTGTATTTCAACGGTTTATTTATATCTAACCTATATAAATTTAAAATCGATACAACACATCTCCGTAACTGTCCGTCTGCAATACTTTAAATATCGGATTCTCATTTTACGATATAGACGTTTACTAAGAACATACTTTACGGAAAAACTTTCTAGCATACCATTTCATTTAGCATCGTATAATTGCAAAAGTTACCATGGTAACCGATAGTAGGTACCTACTTAGTGCCGATAGTACGGCTTATAGACCAGAAAATGACAAAAGCGATTCTTTATTCCAGAAAAATACGTCGCATATTTACTTAATAATAATAATATTTATTTAATAATACATATTTGTGAATAACAAATTTATCGCTGCTAAAATAGCAGAGTACGTCTTATAGACTTATCGTGGCAATTATTGGCATATCTGGTAAGTAGCTTCTGATTTAAAAATTAAATACATCTTTATTAAGCAATCATAAGACTAGTCAGATTAATTATTTATTAATACCTAATACTTAAATAAGATTTAGCTGATCAAATCAAATATAATAAGGTACGGATTTTTATTCGAATATTTAAGTACCAAATGTTGTTTAATCAATGACAAATTGAAATTAATATGGCCGATATATTATTACTGGTGGTAGGACCTCTTGTCAGTTCGCGCGGGTGGGTACCGCCATCCTGCCTATTTTTGCCGTGAAGCAGTAATGCGTTTCGGTTTGAAGGGTGGGGCAGCCGTTGTAATTATATTTGAGACCTTAGAACTGATATCTCAAACACCAGATGGGCTGTGAGCTCGTCCAGTCATCTAAGTAATAAAAAAAAAAACTACGACGGCATCCCCGTCATTTCGGATCCACCCGATCCACTCACGCTTTTAGGTACCCTAAGCACCGGTCATAGTTCTCGTCGAACTCGTCGCTTGCGACAAAGGGCTCGGCGAGTAAATTAACCCACAGACACAGCCCACCACAGATCATAGAAACACAGTATGATCTGGGCAGCCCACTGAGTTTCTCGCCGGATCTTCTCAGTGGATCGCGTTTTCGATCCGGCGGTAGATTCTGCGAAGCACGGCACTTGCTAGGGTTCTTTTTAGCAACAGCGTCAGATTTGAGCCCCGTGAGTTTACCTACTCTCCCGGTGACGCTGATATGCTCTCGCAAAACCATCAGCTTAGGTAGGAAAAAAAAGAGGGCATCCTTAGGTACCGAACTGCCCATCAGCAGCAGCGTGCGGCTCAATACAAGTCTTTTTATAAAGCATTCAGTTGATAAGACAATATATCTTCTTCTTCTTCTGTATATATAAAAATGAATTGCTGTTCGTTAGTCTCGCTAAAACTCGAGAACGGCTGGACCGATTTGGCTAATTTTGGTCTTGAATTATTTCTTGAAGTCCAGAGAAGGTTTAAAAGATTAGATAAATATGAAAATGGTCGGAATTAAATAAAAATAACAATTTTGTTTTTCCTTTGATGTGTCCACCGTCGGATGGATTCCTTTTGTTTGTTTTAAGTTTATTTTATACAAAAGCTTAGGTATTTTATTTATCGATTGAGGCACTGCGAAGTCTGCGGGGTCTACTAGTACCAAATACAATTTAATGTTTCCGAAGCCAAGGGAGGGCGGGTCGCCAGTATTCAATAAAATACAGGAAATACAAAATTACGTAGAAAATATACAAAATTGAAAAAACAAAAAGTTAAAAGGTTTTTTGCAAGGTTATTTTTTCTCCAATGTAATTAATATTATTATTAGAATTGTTTTATTTTTGTAAGGTAAATTTACTTATAATATTAAATTACATTTCCACACTGCATGCTATCTGTACCATTTTTTTGACATCTATGGCTATTCCTGTAGCTCCTCAACATTAGACACTCGGGTTAACTAGAAAATTCCATAAGAGAGAAAGAGAGGGGGAGAGAGAGAAAGAGAGGGGGAGAGAAAGAGAGGGGGAGAGAGAAAGAGGGGGAGAGAGAGAGAGAGGGGGAGAGAGAAAGAGGGGGAGAGAGAAAGAGAGGGAGTGAGAAAGAGAGAATCAGATTGCGGTCTGTTGAACTCTCACTTATCTACATTCAATTATTGTATAAAAAAAACAAGCTTGGGATCGTAAAATAAACAACACACACCATTTTTTTTGTAATTTCTTTATTTTTTCACCATTTATCGTAAAACTTTCCTACGGCACACCGCGCGTCGCATTCGCGCCCTCTATATTCCGCCTTGTGTATGTCGAGCTATTCCTTCATCTATTTAGCTTACCGCACATTACAATATCACACCCCTTCACAATCATATCACCCCACCATTTACGACGGCTCATTACGTAGCAAGTCTGTCTGTTTACGTACCCATCAATGCGATTGGTTGGTTCTATTAACTCGCTCTCTTACTTACCCAACAGGCTTGCCACGTTTACAAAAAAAACGTACATAATAGTGGAAAAAATTATGTTCTATATAATAATAATAATAATAAAAAAAAACATATATAAAAATTGTTGGTTCAGTAGAAGGAATACAAACAAATCAATATATCCATCGTAAGTACGCTCAAGCACCAATTTTAACGCAGTTTCACTGCCATTCCTACCAAGATAATACTTTTTGGCTTTAAATTTAAAAGAGAAGTTACTCGGCGAGGTCTCTCTTAAATTCAAGAACAAAATTCCGAATCCATCCCTAAAAAATAAAAAGAAGAAGAAAAAAAAATTACCGGCTGCAAACGCAGCGTTCCGATTTCTAAACGTCAGAGTATTTCAAAGACAATTTTGAAAAGAATATATCGAGGAGTGAAAAACTATTTGGTTTGCGCAACAGGTTTCCAACTTTACAGCAGAGCCATTTAAAGTTTTATAATTTGGAAAAAAATATCATAACAAAAAAAAAAACTCCAGCTATTTCAATGGAATAAACATAATTGAGGTTCGATTACAAAACATCGAACTGTTGATGCTAATACCGAATAAAACACACCTTTAATTACAATGATAAATGTCGCTTTTCTCGCCTGATCTTCTCAGTGCATCGCGTTTCCGATCCCGTGGTAGATTCTGGGAAGCACGGCTCTTCCTAGGGTTCGTGTTAGCAACGTGGTCAGGTTTGAGCCCCGTGAGCTCACCTACTAGTTAAGGTTACGCTGAAATAGCCTCTCAAGGCGATCAGGATGCGTAGGGGGAAAAAAAATGTCGCGTATTAAGCGAAATGTCGCTTAAACCAAATAACTTTTCACACCTTGATATATATAGGTGAATAAATCAAAATCATGAAGACATTTTTCTTTTCAAATTCGATTAGGAGATCTGCCAATGTTCAGAACATTACCGATACCAACTAATTTATAAATAAAAATAAATCTTTAAACCAACAAGTTTATACATACATATATAATACTAATACAATAATAAAACTAATAATATAGGAAGTAATACATCACACTATGCAATCTTTGGATACATTATCTTACGCGATGCTCTTGTTACGTATTTTTCATAACACGTATATCGCCTCGCTAATTACAAAATTACTTTTATCGTAATATAAATGAGGTTTTCTACTGAAAATTACGTAATAAGAACACCAATCAGCCAGGAGCCAATAATTTGACTTCAAAACAAAAACTGTTCAAGTCAAACGATTGACGGCTGCTGCACACCGAAACCAGTCTCAAAAATTCAATCGAACCGTGTCATACACGAATAGAGAAATTTAAAAATCATTATAAAATGTCCAAATCATATTTNCGTAATATACATGAGGTTTTCTACTGAAAATTACGTAATAAGAACACCAATCAGCCAGGAGCCAATAATTTGACTTCAAAACAAAAACTGTTCAAGTCAAACGATTGACGGCTGCTGCACACCGAAACCAGTCTCAAAAATTCAATCGAACCGTGTCATACACGAATAGAGAAATTTAAAAATCATTATAAAATGTCCAAATCATATTTTATCCTCATCACATGAGCCTTCTCAGTCCCACTGTTCCCCACGCAACACGATATCAATTTACCGATCCATCTCCCGCATATTGGGTGCCAATAATATTTAAATGGGTACCCCAGATCGGCGAAGCTCGCGTCAATCCAAAAAAAAAAAAAACAATACGCAATCACATCCCTCTCCCTCTTCATACACAACACCCAATATGCCTTCTCCTTCTAATCCTAACAACCACGTTTATATTGCATTTTTTTTTAAACTTAGATTTCCTTCGCAGTACTCGCCTTTAATTGGGTCGCCGAAGCCAAGTTGCGCTTCCACGCAGACACGTAAAAGCTCAATCCGGCTACAGCGGTCAAGTGCAAACCTATCTAGATATCCCCCTGTCGCTCGGTACACTACAGAACACAGTTTGTATCCATCATCCCTGCCCTAAGGAAACAATTACATGGTGGTGGCCATAATATCTAAAACGCTCGATGTAAAAATCAAAAATTGATGTAGTGCTATTTTTTATTATCGGACAAGTCGAGAAAATAGTTCGGGAGTCATTAATTATAACAAAAATACCGATCACTTTGCATATGTAAGAGTCTTTTAACAGAGTGAATTATTTGAACAACACCTAGCCACCGCGTTTCAATACCATACGTTATTTAGGACACAATATTACGAAACTTTTAAACTAGGAAATCATTATCCATTATCATATCATAAAACTACAATCGATTGGCAGTATTTTTCGCCTCCATCTTCGCTCTGATATTAGCTTGCTATCACACGTGACGTGATTCAGCCCACACTTCATCAAGAAGCGATAGCATCGAACGATACGGTAGCTCACTTATCTTACTCCCCTAAAACTTCAGACAAGCTAGAAAACTTAACTCGCCGAAGTTTACAGGGTTACGCTTATCTCTTACAAAAACCATAATCAAGATGATTCATTCTTATCCTAAACACACAAACTGACCACAACAATACATCGTATTGATCAAATGAAAAAATCGTCTGATCAATTCGAATCAGTGTTTTGATCGATCGAATTGTGTGAAGCCCTTTATAATACATACAAGTCGTTACCAACACGGACATTATGTAAATAATACATAATTTTTAAATTAATAGCGAAAAAACGACAACGAAATCACACATATAATTCAACACATTGGCAACACTAGCGATGACGATGTTGCCAACGTGCAACATAGGCATAGAGAAACGTGTTATGGCACGTCATAATCATTTTAACCGATTTTCGAAAAAAAAACTGATATTTTGAATTTTAAATGAAAATATATACAACCCCCTGCCAGCTTCCCGATTCTCGTATAACTCCTATGCCTAATATCAACACCTATCACCTCGCATGTGATCCCATCAACCGCTTACTCTACAAAGCCCGTAGTGTGTTCGTACCTTAAAACTAGATGGCGTTATCAAGGATTACGTAGAAAATGTTTACGAATACAGACACACTACTGAAGCTCATATACCTGTCATCCAATCGACCTATCTCACGACAATTAGCTCCATTTTCGACTGTTTTAAGGATATTTTTTTTTGTGGAATCACATCAGTCGTGAGATAAGTTGTCATCAATGTACCGAGGATCGAAACTCTCCCGGCATTTCATACCATTGATGCTTTTCTACTACCGAATGTTACTGTACGATCAACCGCCAAATAAAAAACTAATCTTTCACAAAAATTAATTAACACAATTTTTTTTTTTTTTACTTCATAAACCGTCGTTCATTGTGTCCAATCATTATTTTCGCGCTATTTCCTTTTCAAAGTATATTTATTTATTTCAGGTACTGTGGTATTGCTTATTTGTATTTTTTTTTATTGTTACGAAAATTTCGATTCTTATATATCTGTTGGCGGCTAATTGGTGAGTCATTAATTAATGGATCGGTTTTTAAAATATTCATAAAAACAATAACAGTAGATTTGAGTTTTTTTCTTTCTATTGCAGTGTCATAAGGAAAAGCTTTATAAACAATAAAATGGTGTTTGTTATATTATGTAATAAGGTCGTAATAAAACATGACGTACGCAATCGACGCTTTTGCATTTACTACAAAGGAAAAATTCTAGTAAAAAGTTTTTAATGATTTTTTTCTTTCTTTTCTTAATTCGTAAATGATTTAGGTGTACTGACGGATACAAAAGTATTTACCAGGGGCTATGGCTAATTCCGAGCGTTTCGGTGTTCCTCCTCAAAGTGGAGGGGGCAACCCCGATCTATGTCAGATGTTAATGTCAGTTGACAGCAAGTACAAAAGCGTCATCCGTCCGTGGTGCGAGGGACGCCGCGGCGGCTGAGACCCGCTACACCCACGCAACACATCAAACATAACGTACAGATAAATTATCTTTTTAGCAAAACATCGTTTAATATCAGAAATATAATTTAAACTAACGTATTCTATTATAACTCTGATCAGTTTTATATTATTTATTAGATTTACTTTTAGTTTTGCTCGGTTGTGATCCTTCAATATTCTCGATCTATTTAACACGTTTAAAAATTTGTAATTAAGATAAAGGGGCGACGCGGTTGGCAACGTCGTACACATACTACATACACGTTTTTGTAAAACATTCATTATAAAAATAAACCATAAACAACAAGGTCATCAATGTATAATGTAGAAAGTGCGATGCGAGTTGACGTCGTTGTGGATGATACAATGTGTCGTTACGGAAAAATAAAAAAAAACAATAAACACAAGGCAGCATGTTAACGACGTTGCAAAGCGTGTAATGAATATATTTATAATATAATTGACTATCATTTCATACCGCACACGCAACAGTCTGTCTTAACAACGGAAATCGGTGTGCTTAGTGCGAGTTTCTTAACGGTCTCGATAGCGTAAAAGTTAACTCGTATTTGTATGGAACGGGATCGTTTTCGTACCTTTGCCGCTAGGGGCGCTGTTCCAACTGCATACCAAATTGGCTCAACATTCACGCTATCGAGAAAGTTAAGAAACTCGCACTAAGCACACTGGACGTACGAACATAACAAACCGCTTTCGTTTAAAACTCATTCGTCTACGATTTCTATTTTATTATGAATGGACCGTTTTGTTTTTAATTAACTCATGTAATGTAATTTCATGACGCAATTTCTTAGTGGAATTTTTTTTAAAACATGAATAGTTATTAGAAAGGAGAGCTTTAGTCCGTTAAAGAATTACATTTATTGTGTTTTGTTCTCCGACGTATGATGAGTACGTGTTTAAGATGACGACGATTGGCGAGAGACGCCGCGCATTTCGTCTTCTCGCATTAAAACTGTATAATCTCAAAACTTACTAATTTTAAAGGTTTAACATGTGATATTTTTAATATTAATCATCTTTGCAATATTTATTTTTTACCAGTTACATTATCTGTCTTTTAAAGTAAGTTATAATTATGTATTAATTTTGTTAATAGTAGTCAAGACATGGGTAAATTAAAAAAAAAAAACTAAACTACGCTTTTTTGACCGTATTTATGAGAAAAATACTGGTGATATGAAATGATTCCGCATATTAACTCAATTTCGAATATTTTTAGAAAATGCACTCTTTTAATGCGAAAAGATGACTTCATTAGTACCAGCTCTCGGCTATTATGGAACGCCGCGGCCCGATTGCTTCATGTAAGATAAAAAAAAAAGCAAATTCACACGTAAAATCTCCGAAATAAACCAAGTAATGATATCAAAGTCAAACCCACGGTTTGTTCGATAGGATCGATCGAAATGCGGGTCCAACTGAACAGTCCCATTCTGAAAATATTCACTTCATCTAATTAACAAACACCAATGCCAATCTATATCCGTCGTCGAAATCGATGCGATAACTTCATTTAATAAAATAGAAACTATTCTTTATTATTATTATAGGTATTTCAATATTATTTATATTCCTCAATTAATATAGAATCTATTTTATTTCACTGCTAACTTTTATTGCTCTCAACATATGGATATAATATATTTCTCTCTCTTTCATCTAAATATAAACTCTGTAGTTCTTAAATGTCTATGGAACTAAAATTACAGTTTGTACCATGATTTTGTCGTTTTTTTTTAAACTTAAGTCCCTAATCGCGGGGAGAAAAACGAATGAGTAACTTTCGACTTTTGTTAAATTCCGGTAGTGTTAATAGAAATTGCCAAAAGAGTGCAGCTTGTATTTAGTGAAAGTTCAAAAAGATTTGTGATCAGTTGGGATATAATTTGAATTGCATATGAATCATTCTTCTCTCCGCGAGCCGTCAGTTATCATTTCGAGCATTTCGGAACACCAGACTAAATGTTCACACGGTCGACCCTCCCGCCTACACCCACAGAATAACGCGCAAGGAACAAGCTAGTAGTAGGTCAGGGAATGAACCGAAACCGCATTACGATATCTATAGGAATAACGTTTCTGCACGCTCAGATACCATCATCTAGCAATCGTGATTCCGGTCAACTCCCGTTATGTAAAAATTAAAACTATCCTAACTTACATAGAATGACGCGCCGCCCCTTTCGTTTCAAATATATTTCTATACATTTATGCTTAAGGAAAAGTGACTTTTATATAATATCTTTTTTTTCTTTTTTTTTTTACTATTTCATATTTTTTTCGGACGTCACCAACATGTTTACGGTCTCAGAGACAAATGTACTGTAAATTAACCTATACGACTAATACAACATCCAGTTATAGAAGATTCGCGAAGTAATCTAAAGTCTTCCAACTATTAATCCATTACTATGAATCTTATGGGGAGTGAAAACTCATCTACTCTTTTTAATCGATAACCAAAATGCGCTTCTACAGACCTTTGGGGACATAACGTTTAAATTTTCTTAAACGAGGTCCGTAAAATTACGCTTATAACTATTTCCTAATCACATAAACGCGTTTTGCTGGAAGCTGGACTAAAAAGAAAAAAATATTGCTTACGGAATATGATTTTAAAAATTATTTTATAAGTGAAAGAGATGAATAATTAAATTCGAAGTTTCCTATTTTAAATCTATTTCAACATGATTATTTTAACAAAGCAGTAGTGACAGATTGCGACACATTCTTGGAAAGCAAAATAACTAAGTCGATGTAATAACCGAGATCACTTCAATTCAAGAAATTTGAAAAAAAAAAAGAAGTTTATTTAATACACACATAATCAGTTAATACATCGACTCCAAAAAGCTAAAATAACGCCACCATAACGCAAAAAACACGAAAGAGCTTACCATTAAAAGTTGTTCTACAAAGTCGTCGGCGTATACGACGAAATCATCGAGACAGACAAAAATGATTTAAAACGCACTATGTACAGTTTCAACTGATTTTCGTAATTAAATGCTACAATATAGATATATAATCACTACACTATAAAAAATGTCAACCTAAAATAAACAAAAGTCATTTACGATTCTTAAATACACTTTAAACATCAATACAGAGGAATTTGATGAAAACCCTTAATGATGTCGAACGTCAAAAATAAAAATGATACCATTTGGTACCCCGTTTTATAGATGTATAATTGATTCTCTATTTAGCACATATTGCGGATCTCAGATGTTAGGAGGGATAGAATTATGTACTTCTCACGATCGTATGTCTACTCATCTGGGAATTCGATTTTTTTCTAATGTTAGGCCATATAATGTCGTTAATTAAAAACACGCGTTAAAAACGGTAAAGCTACAAAAAAGGCAATGCGAAAAAGCTAAAACAAATAAAGAGTGATATTTACGGGGCTCATATAGCGATAGTCGCGATTAAAAATAAATACACTGTAAACAATAGCAGTAAAATGCATAAATACACAGTGGAAGGCACGTCTGACGCCTGATGTAGTGCTGAACTTAAGCTAATGCGTCCTGCGCACTTATATATTCGTACATATATACAAAACACACGCGCACACATACATTTTGTCCTTGTGATGGATTTCATGGTACGTTATTATTTTGTGAGAGTGAAGTTGCAAGGCTCATTGTTAGAGTCGAAAATCATCTGACTAGTCCGTTCACAGCTCATCATTTCAATTTAAATACAAGCTTAAAGAAGATTCCAAAACCTATAATTTTTCAAGTGATTGAAAAATGAGTTTATTATATGAGCCATATGCATTTTTTTTTTNTTTGTCCTTGTGATGGATTTCATGGTACGTTATTATTTTGTGAGAGTGAAGTTGCAAGGCTCATTGTTAGAGTCGAAAATCATCTGACTAGTCCGTTCACAGCTCATCATTTCAATTTAAATACAAGCTTAAAGAAGATTCCAAAACCTATAATTTTTCAAGTGATTGAAAAATGAGTTTATTATATGAGCCATATGCATTTTTTTTTTTTATTAAGCTTGTAATCTGAAATTCTAGAGGTATTTAAATTAAAATCCATCTCAAAGCATTAACACAGGGTGCTTACACAACCAAACTTATCCTACCCTTTGGTTCGGCCGCGAGCGGCGCGGTATTTACCACACTTTTAGGCGGACTTAAATTTTGATTGTCTTTTCAAAGACATAGGCTTAGAAATGTTCTACCTAAAACCCATTAATGTACGTTTAATACCTAGGTTTTTTTTTCTAAATTTTATAAAATAATTAATTATTGCTTTGAAACTCCCAAAAAAAAAACTTCCTACAAATTAAGGCTGCACGCATAGTTTTAAAAACTTACAAAACCTTCATTCCAACAGCCAATAATTATATCTTCATACGCCGCGGCCGTAACCAAAACAAACTTTTTAAATCCATCGGATTGTACCTTCCTACAAGTATATCACAGCGGCTCGTCACCTATCTAATTGATTCGAGAACTACCACTTCAACTTGACCTCTAAAAACTTCCATGAAGCTATTATTACGTAGAGGTCTTGTTTTTTGGTATTAACATTCCCTGTAAACACCCGGTGCTTTATTATGAAGGATATCGTTCCGTGACGTCCAATTTTGGTTTTGAATCTTCCAAATGTTTTAAGACATTTTTACCGTAATTTTAGTCGATTTAAATTCTATGGCAACAAAGAATTATCTGACAACACTAAGTGTCAATACGTCGCGGAACGTCCCGGCTCACACCCGTGCCTTTCATGTCTCAAGTGTAAACAGGCAAAAAAAAACTATAATTAAATAACTCTTATAAAAAAAAACACGTACGCCTAAAACTAGATAAGTGGCATTGTTTTTTTATTATGTTTCATACGACGAAGCCAGGATTTGTAACCGAATCAAAATCCCGACCAGATTATGTTACCTTAATATTAAAAAAAATTATGACTTAATCTGGAATTTTAATTCCTCTATGTCATCATTTCGTTTCACTTCGACTTCAGAAAAAACTGCCATTGTCATCTTGACCACAGATATCCACACAAACTGGATAAATTTCAAGGGTCATATTGGCGATCGTTTGACTGCAAATTAAGAAAAATTTACGCGCAACCCTATCTTTCCGCGTTCCTTGTTCCTTTGAAGCCAGATCGAAGACACTAAGTGTCTGAAAACTTAAGTGACAATTAAAAAATATAGTGATTTAAAAAATAAAGCTCAAAGCTGTCTATAGTTAATTTTTCTCACAAAAAAGTATTACATTCTCTCAGAGAGACGATTTATAATGTATTTTTCCCAAAAAGACCAAAAATATCATAATTATACATATCACATGAACAACTCCATGTCGTTCACAAGATATAAAATTAATTTTAGCAAAATTTTGTAAATTCTTCAAACTTCTCAAGTTCAAGATTGGCAACACTGACAAGAATTGAAAATTTTTTTTTTATTATCTTAAAAAAAAAATTTGAGTTAGTTTAAAAGGTACACATTTTTGTTATTCTTCAAACCGACAATTTGTGTGAAGCCATTTTTTATTTAGTGTTGCAAGCATTTTAAAATATATTTTTTATTGAGTGCACACACACACGTACCAACTACACAGGCGACGACATGTCCAATTGTTTGTCACGATAAGATTAGAAAATTAATTTTCTTAAAAGTCATATTAAATTTTTTATCGAATTTTGAATTTAGTATACTTTTTTAATATACTAAAACTACAGTTTTTGGAACTATTCGTTGCGTCAAAAAAATATATTTTTAAATTAGAAAATTTTAAAGAACACCAATTTTATCGCAAACAATCAATATCATTGAGCACTATTACGACCGCCTTTAAAATCGATTCGTTCGATACCAAGTATTGCTTAGGCTTGCATAGTTTCTTTGCAAAATTAACTTTTAACTTGTCGACATTAAGCATACAATCGAATAACGGTACGAGCGATTAGTCAAAATACCGCACGAGCATTAAAAAATCAGAATAATAAAAAAATATATATAGATATTAACAATCCTTAGTCGTTTCAAGAGATATGCTATTTAAAAGGAAGCTTAGTGAGTTTTCAAGAAAATCAATTAGTTTTACAGACAAGTAAATTGCATATATGTATAGATATAAAATGCTCGTGCGCCATCTATCGTTAGTGTGTATCTTTTTGTTGTGCTCCAGATTTAGTAACAGAGAATCCCTCCTTTTGGCGTTTCAGTTAAATCATGGTCAATTCTCTGGATAAGGTCGAGGCGATGAGTAGGAGATCGGATTGCCCGCCCATCAAATCCGATTAGGTACGTTGCAAGAGAATGTGTCCTGAAAGGAAAACGTATACAAATATATTTAAATGTAGTTTCAATCTATCTCGAAATCTTTTCTTATAATAATAATAAAAATAAGCCTTTATTGCTGTTAAAATTTACAATACTTATATCTAAACATTATATATATATATTTTAATGCTAGGATTTTTGCCTTTACTTCTATGGCCATCTCTTGGGTACCATTCCGTTACATTCTTTGTCCACTTTTCTTGTGTCTCTCTTAACAAATGTCCTGCCCATCTCCACTTTTGCATTTTATGTACTTTTTCGACGCTTTTTAATTTTGTTATGTTTTTTTATGTATGTTAGTCTAATTTATCTTTTCTTATTACGTCAAAATAATAAAATTATTGTATTGTCACCAGTACTTGATAAGTGGGCAAATTTTCAAGATGATCCTGACGACTTGCGAAAATTCCGTTATATATACATATTGAAGGATGAAAGGCTTGGATTTGGTTTAGGTGACATTTTTTGTTACTTTACAAGAGAGCAATATGATAAAGTTAATAAAAAATATCATGAAAAAAAAAACTTATTCAGCTATTTTTTTATTGCTTAGATGGGTGAACGAGCTCACAGCCAACCTGGTGTTAAGTGGTTACTGGAGCCCATAGACATCCACAACGTAAATGCGCCACCCACCTTGAGATACAAGTTCTAAGGTCTCAAGTATAGTTACAACGGCTGCCCCACCCCTCAAGCCGAAACGCATTACTGCTTCACGGCAGAAATAGGCAGGATGGTGGTACCCACCCGCGCGGACTCATAAGAGGTCCTACCACCAGTAATTACGCAAATTATAATTTTGCGGGTTTCATTTTTATTACACGATGTTATTCCTTCACCGTGGAAGTCAATCGTAAACATTTGTTGAGTACGTATTTCATTAGAAAAATTGGTACCCGCCTGCGGGATTCGAACACCGGTGCATCGCTTTAACACGAATACACCGGACGTCTTATCCGTTAGGCCACGACGACTTCTGACGATTCAGCTATTTAAATGGAGTAAACTTAATGAAAGTTCAATAAAAAAAAAACAAAAAAAACAAGCGAGAAAAAAAAACCACACATCACGTGGGTCCGATCAATGCACCTCTATAGTGTATTACTTTTTCGGGACACGTTTACTTACTATGTCGGAGGAAGAGGGCGCTGGCTGCGAGGGACCGCCCCGGACCCCGGAACCACCAGGTATGGGTCCGCCCTGAAATACACCAGTATAAACTGTAAACGTGCTGGTAGGACCTCTTGTGAGTCCGCACGGGTAGGTACCACCACCTTGCCTATTTCGAAAGGTAGTTAAAATTGAGACCTTAGAACTTATGTCTCTAAGTGGGTAGCCGCATTTACGTTGTAGATGTCTCTGGGCCCGGTAACCACGGTTCTAAGGTCTCAAGTATAGTTACATTTGTATGGACTTGGAACGTTTGCTTACGTTTGCCGCTAGGGGCGCTGTTCCAACTGCATACAAATTTGAGTTAACTTTTACGCTATCGAGAACGTCAAAAGACTCGCACTAAGCACACTGTCAAGGCAATCTGTCGATGGAATTACCCGACGAAGCCTACACAAGCTGACGAACGAACCTGATGGTTTTCGGCGTTCTGTTGGTGAGCGCGGCACATCTTGTCGCAGTAATCGGCCAGGATGTCCCTGAAGCGGGTCCAACACTTCTCCGGCACGGTGATGGCGGTGCGGAAGTTACTCTTCACCTGAACGTTAAGCGAGCTCTGTACTCATTTTATTACGGTGCAAGGCCCACTATCGAATACGCATAAAGCGTCCAGTGTGCTTAGTGCGAGTCTCTTAACGTTCTCGATAGCGTTAAAGTTAACCCAATTTTGTATGCAGTTCGAACAGCGCCCCTAGCGGCAAACGTACGCAAACCAGCCCATTCCATACAAATGTGAGTTAACTTTTACGCTATCGAGAACGTTAAAAAACTCTCACTAAGCACACAGAGCATTCTGTCGATTTGTTCATTTCGTATTTTGATCTTTTTGATTTCTGACAGAACAATCTTTGTTTTTGCTGAATTTGTTTTGTTTTTTTTTTTCTATTACGACTGACCTTGATATCTGAATACATTGAATATTTATACTTACGATCCCACGACTATACGTACGCGAATTACATTTGAGGCTGTCAGTGCAAAAGTGGCCTAAGCTTACTATAGTTAGTATGGAGTTAATGAGGTTTGAATTTATTTTTACACTGCTTCATACGCAAAAGCAATAGGCACAAAAATAATGTTTTTTTTTCCTACCTAAGCTGATAGCCTTGAGAGGCTATATCAGCGTCGCCTTAACTAGTAGGTGAGCTCACGGGGCTCAAACCTGATGACGTTGCTAACACGAACCCTAGCAAGCGCAGTGCTTTGCAGAATCTACCACCGGATCGGAAACACGACCCACTGCGAAGAACCGACGAGAAACTCAGTGGGCTGTGTCTGAGGGTTAATTTACTCGTCGAGCCCTTCGTCGCAAGCTACAGGTTCGACGAGAACGGTGACCGGTGCTTGAGGTACCTGAAAGCACCGTTAGTGCATCGGAAGGATCCGAAACGACGTGTTTGGGGCGACGTCGACTGCTTTCCATTCTGTCCGCAGGATCGGGAATGATAATGTTTACAAACCCATCTATGGGTGAAACTAGGGATAGGCCGGTTTTGAATAAAAATTTATTATGTTTCAAATAAATTGCAATATTACGTATATTGTACATAATTAGTACAATAACAATAAGTACGTATATGAAAAATTATGGGTTAGGCCACTTTTGCGCTGACGACCTCATTGCTATGCGCTAATAAACACTTATTTACGGTAAGATCTACTTATCTAATCTATTGTATTAAGCATCTTTGAAGAAAAATATCTTTGATATTGATATTTTTCAGTAAAATTCATTTAACATTTCCAAATAAACATAGATCCGAGTTTTTTTTTCTTCAAACCGCTTTGTAATCTCGCTAAGTAAGCAAATAAAATGATATCTATGTATGATAATATATATATTCGAAATTCAGTTACCTTCTGATCCGCAGGAAGGCATTTGAATAATTACATATTAAATCAAGGTACTGTTTTAGGGTGAAGTAAAAACAAATAATTAACGCATTTATTTTTAATAAAACATTTTTAAGAAAGCTAAATATCTTTAAGCTAACCATTTGTTTGGTATCTTCAAATGCAATCAATACTCTTCGAAAAAGGACCGATTCATCAATTGAAATGGGGTCAATAATTTTTATAATTTCTAAATAGCACATTTTTCATTTGCCTGTATGACAACGGTAACCATAAGCACTAACTACCATAATAAATCAATAAAAAAGACATTTACTATTTTGGGTTAAATTTTATCTACCGACGTCTAATAAAAACTTATTGAAATCATCCTGAACTTATTAAAATTATTTTATGTTTTAATTGACTTTGCATTCTACTGCACTAAATGAAGATATAAATGTTATTCATGGGGCAACCCATTCAACTTCTGAAGTAGTAGTAAGAGTGGTAAGAGAGGCGTAGCAAACTAACACATATGATATTGGCAACATAAGATACTAATAATCAAAAGAAATATAATTAAAACTGACGGATAAGAAGAAACTAAGTCAAAGCGTGTTTTTTTTGAGACTCTATTCCATTAGAAACCGAATTGAATGATTCGAATAGAAAAAATAATCATGTCATCATCACAAGAAAGTGGAAAAAATCATGATTAAGAGATGAAATTTTGGATACACTCCATAATAAATCTAATGGTTTGTCAGTAATGACAGAGCTATTCAAATCGTTTTTTTTTTTATCCTACCTAAGCTGATAGCCTTAGGGGCTATTTCAGCGTAACCGTGGCTAGTAGGTGAGCTTAAGGGGCTCAAACCTGATGACGTTGCTAACACGAACCCTAGCAAGAGCCGTGCTTCGCAGAATCTACCACCGGATCGGAAACGCGACCCACTGAGAAGATCCGGCGAGAAACTCAGTGGGCTGTGTCTGAGAGTTAATTTACTCGTCGAGCCCTTCGTCGCGAGCGACGGGTTCGACGAGAACGGTGACCGGTGCTTGAAGTACCTAAAAGCACCGTTAGTGGATCGGGAGGATCCGAGATGACGTGTTTTGGGCGACGTCGACTGCTTACCATTCTGTCCGCAGGATCGGGAATGTCAAATCGTTGAAGCAGTGCACAAGCTACCCACTGGCTTATTAACCGGATAAGTTGCCTTATTGATTTTTAAATATCGGTAAACAATTCAATAATTAAGTAATTCAGTCATTGTCTACTTATTATAATGCTATTGCCGAAAATGTATCGCAAACACTTTAATCATATTTCTCATTACTGTCACAACTGCATTCACCAGCTGCAATATCAGTCTGAGTCCATCAAATTATGGCTTGCAAGGATAAGTGTCGGAACAAGCGAGATGAGGCCTGATAGAGGCGCAGAACATTTGTGGCATTATTTCAATTGGTAGGTCCGTGTGTTGGTACGTATGACGAATTGAATCTAAGTTATAAATTTGATAGTACTCTCTGTCACAGAGCAGTCATGTTTAACCAACATTGTCTTATTACAAAATTTGATCTTATAACGCAATGAAATAGAATTGAATTTGGGTATCTTTGACAACACAACGCATTGACTGAAAGGTTCATTATAGCAACCTGTTAAGCAAATGTAAATCCAGCAATTGCTGTATAAACGTCACTTTTGACATTTAAAGATTAATTATTTGCCAGAGGTTTATGGATTTTATTATGCGCGGATTATTGATTTCTTTTCCCTAGTTGGTTTTTAAGGAACTATTCCAACTACTCACGGATCGATACGGGCTCAACCTGAGAGAATTGCTAACACTGACCCTAGCAAGAGCAATGCTTCGCTGAAATTACCATCGAAATAACGATCCACCGAGAAGGTCCGATGAGAAACTCTATGGGTTGTGTCTATTGGAGGTAGGTATAACATATATACCTTCTTGATCAGAAAGCCTCTAGAACAGAAAGCTATCAAAGACATTAAACTGTCGTGACCCGCTCTTAGCACAGACTATAAACCGAATATTCGTTAAGATACATTAACATACATAAATATACAAATTATGCAAATGTCACGAAACAGAAGTTTGTGTATTCCTTAGAACACGCTTACAAATTCGTAAAAAAAGCAATCACATAAAAAAATTAAACAATTAAAATTATTGTTTTTAAGCTACACTACGGATCCGAAGATCTATCTTGTGATATCGGAGTCTGGAAACTTGGATCAGTTGATACTAGCGGGTACGGTACACATACGTACAAAAAACGAGTAACGTTTTTGAGCAAAACCAGCAAAAAAAAAATAAACTTCAGCAAAACAAAAAAAAAATAGCAAACGAAAGAAAAAAAATTGAACAAAAAGACAGAATAGATAGTAGTGTAACAGACGTCCACGTACCTCGCTTACTTTCATGTATATACCGCGGTTGTTTTGTCCGATGTCGAAGTAGAAATTCTTGTTGTCGACACGCAAATGTCGACCTTCGGGGAGCTCTCCTTTGAAGCTATTATCCCAAAAGAAGTTTCGTTATAATTATCAGGAACAAAAGTCATGTCTAGAAAATGAAATTCGATTATCCAAAATCTTGTTTGGATAATATGTATTTTTTTTAATTTTTATTATTAGACTTTAAATGCTTTAATGTGGTCACTCCTGACGATAAAAACGCTCCATCGTATGGCATAATAAATAGTTCTTCTATTTACTGATGTTTGAAAAAAAAAAGCTTTGTGTGTTTCAAAACAACTTTATTAGTAACACTAAGATTTTTCAATTGCTGCGAAACAAAAATAATCAGTTCACAAATAGAGGGGAAAACTGTAGTTAATCTGTTTATGTTTTGTTTAAAAAAACTAGTTAGTTTTGCTGGTGGTAGGACCTCTTGTGAGTCCGCGCGGGTGGGTACCACCACCCTGCCTATTTATGCCGTGAAGCAGTAATGCGTTTCGGTTTGAAGGGTGGAGCAGCCGTTGTAACTATACATGAGACATTAGAACTTGTATCTCAAGGTGGATGGCGCATTTACGTTGTGGATGTCTATGGGCTCAAGTAACCAAAACAAAGTTATTGGTAATACTAAAGCTCGTCAATAAAAGGTTTTCAGAAAGAACTAGAAAATGTAACTGTCTTATTTATTATTATATAATAGCCCATTATATAAATCGGTTATTGAATTATCGGCTATTTGCTATAGCAAAAATGTTAGTATCGTCTTTGGAGGGAAGTTCCTCAATGTTTAAAGGCGAACGATATAATCACCCTTACCCCTATAATATCACCCTTTCTCGACGCGGGACCAGTTTTTGGACCTTACTTTGAGATCGGGTGAACCGCTCTGGAATTCTGAAGCTGAGAAGATCCGGCGAGAAACTCAGTGGGTTGTGTTTATGGGACGAGGACCGTGACCGGTGCTTGAAGAGGCTAAAAGCGCGAACGAAACCGCGGGTAAGCGTTACTCACCCGCCATCATCGGTACCGAAGTCATCCAAGAGATCGGTCAGTGCGTCCCGAAACTCGATCATGCCCTGAGCCGGCAGCGCGATCTGACTGCGGGGCCCCCCGCGTGTTATGGTCTGGGAGACACGGAGGAACCGCCCGCGGGAGTTCTCTTTCAGATCCAAATAGTACCGACGGTTGTCCTGCGAACGGTCCAAACGTAAAGCTTGAGTCTCCAAATTTTAACGAGTTCGTCCACAACAACAGAATATTAAGTTTCCTTGAGATGTCTCATAGTTTGGACGTGGGATATTGAAGGACAGGAGGTTTTTAGTCGGTCCGACATGCCCTGCCCGCTATTCCCAACAGAGGGCGAAGTCCAGCGATTTCCTCCTGACCCAAAAAAAGGTTTCCTTTTGAAAGTCTTTCCACTAGTAAAAAACTAAGAGTCAAAATATCTTCACTTTCTACGTAAATGAAGGCTATGAATTTAGTGTTATGCCAAAGTAACTATTTCACGCGGACAAAGTCGCGGGCAAAAGCTAGTATTAATAATAAGTGATATTAAGTATGAAATAGCATGTTCTAGGGCAAGAAGATTTGTACGGCTTTACACAATTACACCTCACACTCCAAGGTATGTTAAGACATCAAAGAATTCCAATATCGCCCCCATTTGGGTATCAGGTCTGTCCACTAAACCTTTTTTTTATTGCCCTTGTAGGCGGACGAGCATACGGCCCACCTGATAGTGAGTGGTTACCGTCGCCCATGGACTTCAGCAATGCCAGGGGCAGAGCCAAACCGCTGCCTACCGCTTAATACTCTCCACAAGCCTCGTTTGAAGAAGGACATGTCGTAGCGCTCGGGAAACACCGTGGAGGGGAGCTCATTTTCTAAAGTAGATCACCTTAAGCATCATTTCCGACTTGAGTTTTCCGTCATCGGGAACGTTGTCCGGATTGGGTGGTCCGAGTGACGAGTAAAAATCACTGAAACTGGACAGGTGGTCACGGAATTCGGCGGCTGTTGACATGGCGAGGAATATTTGACTGCGTCTCCCGTCCGCTCCAATCTAGACAAGAGCAAAAGCGAATTTGTTACCATTAATTGTATATGCAATTTCGAAAAGGGCACACGTCGCATACTTTATCAAATACGTTTTTTCATATTGTACATGTAGTTTTGAGGCTTACCTACACCCATTTTATAATAATTCCACTAATTTTCAATTGCTAATTAACACTAAAATATATCTCAAAAGTTAATATTTTAAATTTTACACTGCTTTAGAAAATAAACAGTTTTTATCGTTTCCTGAACATTTTACATTTTCAGTGAGATGTGCCCTTTTCGAAATTGCATATTCAATTGTATTGTGTGTCTAGCAAATCAGTGGTTCCAAGGCCAGACTTAGCAGCTAACATCCTAGCCCTAGCATCCTTTAAGCAAAGTCGTTCAACAGATACTGAAACTGGAATGAGTGAAATCGCTAGCTATGCCGCTGAAGATTCGCATGGAATTCTCATTTTTCAATGTGATGAGGTATGAACTGAATTACTGTTATGAATGAAGACGTCTAGAGCCTTGCAAAATAAAATTAAACCTTCATACATTTCTCCCTGCATACGGAAACAACTTAATCGGGTATTATTTCATTATTCACCACGTGACAACTAATTTACGTTTTCGCTTTAACCAAACAATGAATTCCGGCGGTTTTATCGATGCATTACGTAACCGTTAGATGTTTATCTTGATCTTGTCATCGCTTATCGCTTCGCCTTTACGTAACGACTCGCGAAGGACGACGCATTGTATACAAATTAAACATTTACTTAATTAGACGGGACATTTTCAATTTTGAAACACACAAAAAAAGTGAGTTTTATGTAGCACACGTTGGGCAAAGTTATATTGCAATTTTTAGTTTCGTTTTATTATATTTAATCTACAATCGTGTAAAAACGGTGACGACATATCGTTATAAAAATTTGGCATATATACGAAAATCGAACCCGATATTCTGGCGCCAGATACCTATGCCAGCCCTTAATAAAATACTCATCGACTTTGTTTCGTTTGGAACTTACGGAATTAAAAAGATCCTCTTTAATACGATACGGTTAAACAGTGCCACTGACATTATCATAGTCGATGTCCACGGGCGACAGTCACTACTTACCCTAACGTAGCCGGTCCGGTCGTCTATCTTCGGTGGCATTAAAAACAAAACAAAAATCAAATTTCATTAGGATTTTTTCAAAGACCATGCATTTCTACAAGGACTAAATTTACAAAAACTTATTTTAGTTAAAACGCTATTCCAATAATCTGTCTTAGTTTCGTTTGAATAAAAACCAATCAAGCTATTTGGCATTTCAACTAAAATATGTTTGAGGTAACAATAACACTACTCTTTCTCTTCAAACGTCTCAATAAACAGAAATATACACAAATCCTCTTCGTTGAAGATCAGTAGTGAAATTTAGCAATTTACCATTCAAGCGACTAGACTTTTGTTTATATCCATTCGTTTTCTCTAAATATATATATTATGGATAACCTCATTCCATTGCCACGAACCATTGCCGAAGTCGTCGTAATTCTAAATTTCAGACAAGGACTCCTGATGAGATAAAAAATAGCACGCAATGCAACAGGATTAAAAAAAACAGCTGATGCGCGCGGGAGCGTTTGCTATCTACCGCCTTCCCTAACCTTATAAGTGTTTATGTTTACGGCGGGAAATTAATATTGATAGCTTCTTAGTTATTTGCAGTCCACTTGTCGTGTCGCCTATATTGGTTCACGACACCCGTAACCTGTGGATATCCTAACCAAAGACCGTTGAATGTTAAACCTTTAACTTAAAGCTGTTTTCCGATTCATTTTCGGTTCCTATGTTTGTATACTTTACTTTTTATATACGAGTAGTATATTATTAGACTTTTAAATATTACTAGTTGCACCAAATTCATTAATCCTACAAAAGGTGTTTTTTAAATTTACATCCTTTACATTCCATTTGAGATTACTTCTCGGAATTTTATTCTTTTTCTAGAAATATTTTTCGCTGTTTAATATTAAGTGAAAACAAGTTCTATTCTCTGTCACACAAGACACGAATTTCCTAGATGACTTTTGCTAATCATTTAATGTAACACAAAACCTACATTTCTCATTCGATTCAAACAAGTTAATTAAGTGTTACGTTGCATAGCAACTGAACGGTCAACAGAATTATATGCAGTATCTATATGTCAGAATTCAAGCAAATAATTTCTCTTTTTTATTATTATATAATTATCAAGAATTAGTTTGGTGTAAATATTAATATTACATTCGCTGTCCTATCTTTAGATAAGATGAATAGACGAAACGAATATTCCCAAAACATAGTCGAAAAAGTTTATGTATTAGATTAAAATAATATTGAAATAGCAATTTCATGAGCAATGACATGAATATGTATGATGTGTGAGAAAGAAACTGCAGAAAAGGTACCGATAAAAATTCACAGTACCGGCCCAATAAAGAAAAGAGATATACATATGTCTGACCAATGCTATTTAAACTTTTACGCCATGAAGTTTATTAGATACGATTACTGGATATGCGAAAATTCCTTTTTTAACTTTACCAATAAATATTTTCATTAAAATTCTATATTTAATAACCACACTGGCGACTTCAAACAATTCCCATGTATTCTGGATGCAGTGTTATAAAGCGTAATGTACATCAAAATTTAAAGACAGATTAACGACTTAACGAATACAAAAACCATTAACAGGCTATTTTCTTTTAAAAAAAAAACGAATCCAGAAAGTAATTTCGCTGGATTATCAATATGCTGGACTAGCGTTGCGACCAGTATACAACTTTCAGGAGTCATTACTAAGGTTAATAAACAAGACTACTCAATACTTTGATATTAATGAATCCAATGATATTGCCTTACTTCGGCTACTTTAATGAATCTACCCCTCCTGTTCTGCTTTACGTCCAAGTAGAAGCGTTTCGATTGGATCTGCAGCATCTTCGTCGCCAGCTCCTGCTCTTGTGGCTGCTGACCTGCGAACAATATTTCGAATGATATGTATTAAATAAATTATTTAATTTGAGATTAATAGTTTTCGAATGATCGTTTTAAAAAAGCGTCCTTTAACTAATAGGTAAAAGGGACGATTTATTCGTGGGATAATGTTGACTTTCTTACGTTATTTTAAAAGCTTATTATTATATTATGCAATAATTGCTGTGACGATTTATTAAGTCAAAAATCCAAAAATCTTGTTAAAAAAACTACTAGTAATGTAGATGAGGTTCTTAAGCGTTATTGTGGTCTACACTTATAACATAAACACCCTTTGGTGAATACTGTGCTTTTGTACTGGTGGTAGGACCTCTTGAGAGTCCGCGCAGGTGGGTCCACCACCCCGTCTATTTCTGCCGTAAGGCAGTAATGCGTTTCGGTTTGAAGGGCGGGGCAGCCGTTGTAACTATACCTTAGAACTTATATCTCAAGGTGGGTGGCGCATTTACGTCGTAGATGTCTATGGGCTCCAGTAACCACTTAACACCAGGTGGGCTGAGAGCTCGTCCACCCATCTAAGCAATAAAAAAAATACTGGTTTTTTTGTTGTTTTTTTCTACTTAATCTGGTAGTATTGAGAGGCTATGCCAGCATAACCGAGCGAGTAGACTCATTCTGACGACGTTGCTAACACTAACCCTAGCAAGAGCAGTGCTTCGCAGAATCTACCACTGAATCGGAAACGCGACCCACTGAGAAGAACCAGCGAGAAACTCAGTGGGCTCAATTTACTCGCCGTTCGTCTGAAGCGACTGGTTCGACGAGAACGATGACCGGTGGTTGAGGTACCTAAAAGCACCGCTGGGCGATCGGGAGGACCCGAAATTACGCGTAATTCTCGATTCATTGGCACAACACGCGCAAGAATGCAATTTATTAGTAGACCAATCTGCACATTATCTAATCAGATCATCAGACTTTAGATACATTAATTAGTAACTCAGATATCTATGCTTGACCTAATTCTTTCAGGCATTTCTTCATAACAACGACACTACAGGACGCCAATAACCAAAAAAAAAATATAAAAGAAATGCAAGGGATCTTAACTGGACTTTAAAGAATTATTCCAAAACAAATAGTTTTGGTTTGTGTAAAATTAATTTCTATCTTAAATAGGGCTAAATAAATGTAACCGTTTGATAAACTTTGTAATGTCAAAATACCAGCTTTTTCTTCTTTGTGGTTTTTGTAGCTAAACTCCAAAACGGCTGAGACGATTTTGACAGGACATAATTATACTGGCAGACTGACTGATGTTATAAATACCATACATACAATATAAAGGTCATGAAAATTTAAAAAAAAATCGATTCAAACATATATTTTTTTATTGCTTAGATGGGTGGACGAGCTCACAGCCCACCTGGTGTTAAGTGGTTACTAAGTGGAGCCCATAGACATCTACAACGTAAATGCGCCACCCATCTTGAGATAAAAGTTTTAAGATCTCAAGTATAGTTACAACGGATGCCCTACCCTTCAAACCGAAACGCATTACTGCTTCACGGCTGAAATAGGCAGAGTGGTGGTACCTACCCGCGCGGATTCACAAGAGGTCCTACCACCAGTCAATCAAATAAGGAAGTATTTCATACTGTCTGTAATAATGTCAGTATTTGATATCAATAATTTACTGATTTCAAACACAGACAAGGTAAAGAGGAACCGGGTTGGTCACTAAATAAAATCTAATAATTGTAACGTTTTATACTCTCAAACTTACATCAATCGCAACTTACAATGTGTGGCTAATCGCGGTGTATAAATTGTCACAGTATCATAATTACATTTTGGCCTCATTTGACGTCTCACGAAGTTACGTTCGGCCGAGTTTTGCCAAATTTAGACGGATTTTGTATAAGATCTTTCCAATTATTTTCCTATATTATCGCTAAAATATTCCATATTTTATGTATTTGACCACAATTATCGATGGATTCAATTAGAATTGAAACCACTTTCCTTGCATTTCAAAACAAAAGCGTTCATTAGAAACATCTCCCGTGATTGTCTGGTTAAGAAAAAACCTTTTAAAATGATCTTATTTTGCCAGACTAACATTCATTTAGTCCTTAAGAATACGAGTACTTAGTTTCTATTTTATTGGTGTCTATTATCTTGTGCCTGTTTCACATAAAATAGGTACGTTTAGAAATCGTTGTGATCGATTATATTACAGACGGTCGTGGTCGGTTAACGCAACCCACCTTCACGCGTCAACGGTCACGAGTTTTCAAACGCACCTAACATTTATTTTGTGTATTTGAGATTTTTACGATCTAACGCTTCGAGATATTCCAATTTTTATTTATTTATTGCTTATGTGTGTGGACGAGCTCACAGCCCACCTGATGTTAAGTGGTTACCGGAGCCCATAGACATCTACAACGTGAATGCGCCACACACCTTGAGATATAAGTTCTAAAATCTCAATATAGTTACAACGGCTGCCCCACCCTTCAAACCGAAACGCATGACTGCTTCACGGCAGAAATAGGCGGGGTGGTGGTACGTACCCGTGCGGACTCACAAGAGGTCGGTGGGACCAGTAATTCAGATCTATTCGAAACATTAACGAAATCAAATAATATCAAACTTCATAGCTTCTTTTGTATCTAATGAAAGCTGTAGACGCTTACGGCTATTCGCAACGCTACTAATTAAACTGGCAATGTATCCCAATGTGTATGTAATAAAATGAAGCCCGCAGACACTCCCTAGTAGAGTTTTGGGTTAAAGAAGAAACCGCGTGTTTCAGTTTAAAAGGCAGGACGTGGACGGTATTAAAAATTACAATGGCATTCACAGAAACTCTTAGGAACACGACCGAGGGTACGAATATTTCTAACATAACACAACAATGACTTTTTGGCGGGAACGCGAGGAGTTAAGTTGTGTGATTTGTTTTATTTTGTCTGTTTAGTGTTCCTTCGGCTTTAAATGTGTAATAATGGTTGCTTATTAACTGTTTATTATCTGTGAAAGTGCACAAATGTGGGAAAATGAAACAAAGCCGCTGGACGTAACTTCTCGGGATCCTCCAAAAAGTCCACTGAAAAAATCTTAGTAAATCACCATTTTACTGAGATTAAATTTCATTCCATTTCATTACATTTAATTTCATCCCATTTGATTAATGTCTCAAATTAATAATCTTCATTTCATTTCACTCCATAATATCATACTAATACTAATACTAATATACTAATAATATTATAAAGAGGAAAAATTTGTTTGTTTGTTTGTTTCGAATAGGCTCCGAAACTACTGGACCGATTGGAAAAATTCTTTTTCTATTAGAAGCCGACATTGTCCCTGATGAACATAGGCTACATTTTTTTTATTTATTTTTTTTGGTTTCATGTGTGTTTTAATGTTTCCGAAGCGAAGCGAGGGCGGGTCGCTAGTTTTTCATAAAAATATGATCATAAATTAAAATAAGACATGACTTAAAGGTCTCAGTTACCAGGTCATAAAATCCCTTAAAAAAAAAATATAACACAACAATGATTGATATAATAATAATACGTGTGATACAATACGATTGATCTTCAAGGTTGCACAACAAACAAAGCATCGGGATCTCACATTTCACATTACCGAGATGCATGATGTCGTTAAAATAACGTCTATAAATTTCAAACGGTCATGTTTAGAAACTGGTTTTATAAACGTTATCTATATATAATACTAGCTGACCCGGCAAACATTGTTTTGTAAGATTTCTAGGGAATTTCTAGTGTAGAAAAAAAAACTAACTTATTGTAAGTGTGTAAGGATGTGGTAAATGAGCGAAAGAGGTATGTAGTGCTGTGAACGATGAGGGAATATATAATAAAAATAACAAAACCTCATTTCAAACCACATAATACCTCATTATAACAAACAAAAAAAAGTCCAAATAAAAAAAAATATGTTACGGGTGGACAACCCTAATCACTTAGGGGTATAAAAAATTGATAGTAGCTGATTCTCAGGCTTACTGAATATGCATTAAAAATTTCATGAGAATCGGTCAAGCGGTTTCGGAGGAGTATGGGAACGAACATTGTGACACGAGAATTTTATATATTAGATAAAGCGAAGTCTAGGCGTATTCTGAATTGAAATACAAAAATATATTACAATCTATTAATGAACACGCAAATTACGAATTGAATATTTCAAGAGGCACGTGATGAATGAGATAAAAAAAATATGAGAATGTTAAAAACGTATTTTCAGGTAAAAATATATTCCCAATTAGACGTGTTCCATTTGAGAAAAGCTCTCTTAAGAGGCTTACCTCGTCGCTACGCGGAAATAATCGTTTTTCCTATCCTGAACATCGAATGAAGGGTGTTTAGGTTATTTGATATTAGAAGAATAGCATAATATTATAATATAAAAGAAACAAATCGGTGTATTACTGTCAAGTAAACAACAAACATTTTTGTTTTGTTATTTTCTTGATCATACATGTTTGTTTTGACAACAGTATTTATAAAGGCATCTGACATCAAGTTATTGATAAAGTATAATATAATGAAAGCCGATAAAGTATCTCGATTTACTTCTTAGTTTTCTTAAGGGATCATTTAAAGGACTGGTGGTAGGACCTCTTGGGAGTCCGCGCGGGTAGGTACCACCACCTTACCTATTTCTGCCGTGAAGCAGTAATGCGTTTCGGTTTGAAGGGTGGAGCAGCAATTGTAACTATATTTGAGACTTTAGAACTTATATCTCAAGATGGGTGGCTTATTTACGTCGTAGATGTCTATGGGCTCCAGTAACCACTTAACACCAGGTGGGCTGTGAGCTCATCCACCCATCTAAGCAATAAAAAAAAATAAAAAGAAAATTCTCAGCTGGTGGGTTTTAAATCCGGCAGTAGATGCATTCGTAAAGCACCTGTTGAAGCTGTTAGATCACATTTGGGAGCGCTCGGGCAGCTGTTAGCAGCCCATCCTTTCCGACTGAATCCATGATCGCTCACCTGTCCAGGTAAAACTGGAAAGACAACCGGGCTACCGGTGGTTGTAGTCCCAGGTTACTGTTACATATGACCGTCAACACCAACACAATATAAATAAAAATGCTGATTAAGGCATTCCTGGATGCATCGCCTTTATATAAAGACGATTTATTAGTAAAAAGGTGACAGAACAGATTTGGCTTTTGTAGTGGACAACCCATTTAAGTTTTAAATTTTAATTTAAATAAACTCAGTGTCAGTGACAGTATCCTTTTTTTAAAAGTTCACCTGGACACATCCCGTAACAGTACCTTGTTAGTACATAGAGCCCTCACAAGTTGTCCAAAACCAATTAAAAATCAGAAGCCAAATCATCAGCAGTTAAATCTGACGTGAGCTAACATTAAAAGTACACCACCGCCAAAATTTTAACCCCAAAGCAAAACAATGAGAATCAACGTAGAATATTTTTCTTGAAATGACCTATCCTGATATCACAGTTTGAAAAGTAACTGAGCTAAAGATTAATGCGAATCGAGGGCGTAAATTTTCCAGAGAAAAATGTAGGACATGTCAATTATTCAAATGAAACATAAGGAAATCGTGTCGGTTGAGTTGAGCCGGGATTTCAATTTTGCAAATTGACGAGAAAGAAAAAATCTATTTTCAACGTTGCTAAGCCCTCGCCATCATCCTTTCGCGGTGCAAGTTCGAGAATATTCACGATCCATTTTTCTAATAAAATATTTAGTTTACGTAAAAGTGCTGGACTCTGTAGATATTTTTTTAGCATTTAAAATGTATTACTTACTATCTATTTATAATATAATGATTCCGAATTTTTATTTTTTTAAATGAACATAGAGCTTAATTATAAACTACCCGTACTCGCCCGCTGCGCTGCGCATTTAATATTAACATTATTTATTATTTATTCTCATTATTATTAGGGAGTCCAACATCATATAAATATTAGCCTATCCATTAAGTACATGTATTTTCTACATGGATACCAAGTTTCAAGTCAATCGGATGCATGGTTCAGTAGTTATAACGGAACATCCGTAAAAACCACTATAGATTTATATATTAGTATAGATAGATTTAAATAAATAGAATAGAAGGAAATCTTTTTACGATGATAAAATAATATATGATAACATGTAGTATCCTCTACATTTTACAGCCACCAGCGATATAGTAATGATTTTGAGTGACTGCTTTCCATGCGTTAGCTTTTGATAGAATCTTTAGACCTAATTGCAATTCGTAGTCACGAACGATTTACATAAACCGTGAAACGGATCTACATTCACATAAAATTGTTGACCCGATGCCCCCTAACCTTTCTGAAACTCAAGGTCTTTAGTGCTAAAAGAATATATATAAATATAAATATTTACTAACAATCACGCCACGTTAACTGGTCCCGTGCTAAGTTCGTAAAGAACTTGTGTTACAAGTACCAGATAACTGAAATAAATATAATATTTTTATTATACACATACATATATTTAATATACACCCATAACCCTGGAGAGACATTTATATTTATCATACAAATATCTTCCCTTGGCGGGATTCGAACCCGCGACCCCCTTGTGTAGTGACCATGTCACTTACCACTACACCAGACGGCCGTTTGTTAAAAGAAATATCTACTCTCAATCGTGGCTACGCATGGTAAGGCATCTTGCAATTTCGCACTTATCATTACCACGATGCTGCCTATTTCTGCTACGTACCAAGGCACAAAAGCAGTTGCACTAATGACATTGGGACTTAGCCACTAAAGCTCGAAAGAGCTGCGGCGTCTGCGTACGTCGTACCTGTCAAGCTGAATAGAACGTTATCAAATCACTACATAGTATAAAACAAAGTCGCTTTCTCCGTCCCTATGTATGCTTAAATCCTTAAAACTGCGTAGCGGATTTTGATGCAGTTTTTTAATAGATAGAGTGATTGAAGAGGAAGGTTTTTATGTATAATAACATCCATTAAATAGTGGATCTCAGTGGGTCGCGTTTCCGATCCGGTGGTAGATTCTGCGAAGCACGGCTCTTGCTAGGGTTCGTGTTAGCAACGTCATCAGGTTTGAGCCCCGTGAGCTCACCTACAAACGTTAGGGTTACGCTGAAATAGCCTCTCAAGGCTCTCAGCTTGGTAGGAAAAAAAAAAATTTGTGGAGAAATCAAAAATAAATTACAGTTTCCGAAGTGAAGCGAGGGCCGGTCGCTAGTCAAATAATAAAAACAAGTTTCACATTCGGAGGCTTCCTCGAAAATCTCGTTCAAAATTTTTAGTTACAGCTAAAGCTTAAAACAGATGATAAAACCGAATTCACAGTATTTGTTCGAGGAGGCGGGCGGGCAGACGAACTAACCGCCCACGCGGTATTAAGCAGAAACTTCATTCTATTAATAGCTGCGGCTTGCCCACCGACATTGAGACATGAGGTCAGTCGATATAGGAATAACATCGTGTAATAAAAATACTACCAGCAAAATTATAATTTTCGTAATCACTGGTGGTAGAACCTCTTGTGAGTCCGCGCGGGTGGGTGCCACCGCCCTGCCTATTTCTGCCGTGAAGCAGTAATGCTTTTCAGTTTGAAGAGTGGGGCAGCCGTTGTAACTATACTTGAGACCTTAGAACTTATATCTCAAGGTGGGTAGCGCATTTACGTTGTGGATGTCTATGGGCTCCGGTAACCACTTACACCAGGTGGGCTGTGAGCTCGACCACCCATCTAAGCAATAAAAAAAAGTTGAGGTGAGGTCAGAATTAAAGTTTTTGAGAATACATTTCCAAGACATTGGGGGGCAAGGCCATATTCGATCGTATAAACAAAACTTACCGGAGTCAAAATTGTTCCCTCCCGCGTCCATGCCTTGACCATGATATTCTGCAATCATAAAAAAAAAAACAAAGTGAGTTTACGTGCAACAGCTTAGATTCATAAACATCGACATTATCTAAAATAATGCAAAACAAACAAACGAACAGATAACTTAAAGCGAAAAATGATTCTGAAAATAATAATGAAAAAGTTTTCATACACCAATTGAATTGTTTTGTTAAACAACAAAACGGTGTGTATTGTTGAATTTATTGTTCAATCAAAATGAATAAATTATAAAAGAGCAGCCAAGAGCGCCCTTCATATTTCAGATGGATTTAGTCTGGGACGTTGACAGGGGCCTTTGAAGGTCCCTCCTTCCCTAGATTCCTTTTAGTTAGGAGCTGAGCTAATTTCGTCTGCACGATTTTGTACACTTGGTCGTCATAAAGTATTTGCTTTTGATTTCATATTCAAAGCATATTCGATTTAATATTTATAACTTGTAAATAATTTTGATCTTGGACTCCCCTCAGCCAGAATTGGCTTCAATATATGATGGCGGCCCATACAATAATGGTTTTTTTATTAAAACGTATAAGTACCACCACATTGCAACAAATTTTATCAAATATAAATTCATGACATAAAATTAGAATTTCATGATATATCAAGATTTATTATTGTTATTAAAAATACGGCAACAGATTTTTTTTGTTTAGGTAAATCCACCGAAAGTCAAGGAAAGCGGACAAAATTAATAATTGAGTAATTGACTACCGTACCATGCGGTCTGTGTGAATCCAGTCATCGGACTAATAAATCACCTTTGTTAAGATATTCGGAATATGGGTGTACTTTTTAATATCCCGTACGTGTCTTCCGTCACCCGAAATACTAGAGAAAGGATCGTCCGTTTTTTTGTATCTTTTTCGTGTCAATGAGTTTTCATTTTTTAGAACAAAATATTAGCTATATATACCCACCCAATGTGACACGTAACCTATTCCAATGCTCAGAGTTTTCTGAACGCTACTATTCATATACAGTTCAGATTAATTTAATGTAATCTACCGTACTATTTGGGTAATTACAAGTACATGATTTTTATCACGGCTTATCGTGCTTTTTTATTTTATTTTTATTGCATAGGTGTGTGGACGTCATCACAACCCACCTGGTGTAAAGTCGTTACCGGAACCCATAGACATCTACAGGCAGATATGAGTTCTAAGGTCTCAGTATAGTCACAACGGCTGCCCCGCCTTTCAAACCGAAACGCATTATTGCTTCACGGCAGAAATAGGCGAGGTGGTGGTACCTACGCGTGCGGACTCACAAGAGGTCATACCACCAGTAGTTTACTTATTAGAATATTTTAACTACAGCTTACGTATTGTACAGCAAACGTGTTATCACTATAAACCGAGACTAAGTTAAACCATAATTTTAACTTAGTATAACATGGTTCCATATTATTTAAAGGAACAACATCGCAAATACACCGTGCTTGGAATCACGAGGGAGTGTAATGCAAAATCTATTTCACCCCCCCCCCCAACCCAGCGCCCCATCCCAGGTTCAGGTTCCTGCTAGATATCTAGGTGACCTAAATACGAAGTAAATTTTCAATGACGCATACACACACATACAAGGTTAAGCCTGCATAAGTAAGTGTACATTTTAATATCAAAAAACGAATTAGGTGTCATTTTTAGTTTTGTGAACGAAAAAAACTGTGAAAAAAATCTGAAATACTGAAATCTAAAAAAAAAGGTTACTTACTAGATACAACCCATAGAATTTCCTCGGACAATTTATTCACCCAAAAAACGATCCTTCCCATCTTTGTTTGTTATGTACATTTATTAAAATTAGTTTTCGCCCAATGATTAAAACTCGCGACCAAAAACAGACGCGATTCAGTTTCCTTTTGACTATTGCAAAATAAACCTTCAGATATTTTATTGTTAGAGCTAAAGTTAAATGGCTACAAAGAAAAAAGGCGATTGCAAAGTAAACCCTCAGATATTTTATTGTTAGAGCTAAAGTTAAATGGCTACAAAGAAAAAACATTGCTTGAGAGAGAAACGACTAAAAGAAACTTAAACAGAATTTGCCTATTTATTTATATATATAAATGCGTGGTTTATGAAACCCGTAAACAGAGTGTTGAAGCGCATGTAATAAAAAATCTATAACACCACCCGTCCCAGGTCTCAGGCTCCTAGATATCTGGGTGACCTAAATACGTACGTTCAGCTATTGCATACAACGCCTAGCCGCTACGAGTTTCTACCCGCATCCTGCATGCAATGTATGCATTTCATTAAAACGTACAACGATACGTTAAGCCATTAAATCCGGTACTGAAATAGTTAAAGAATTGATTTGGCACATTAACGGCAACAACGATTTAACAAGATTTTATTAATCAAGACAAAAACAAAAACATAGTTCTGTAATTCGGTAAATTCTAAACACGTTTCCGAATCATAAACGATTAATGGCACATACAAAGGAATACGCAACGTAAAGGCAATAAGGCTCAAGTTGCTTTTACTTAAAAATATTATACTTCATACCTTTCAAAACTTTTACAGCCAAAGACCAACATTTAAAGAAATCATCTTTTTAGTCTTTTGCAAAAGAGCATTGTCGTTATGTTCTGGGTCAATGTTAATAGTACTTAAGTAAATTTTACAAATAAAATATTTCAGTGTTTTTCTTTTTGTACTCACCAAACATTTCTTTAATTACAAATTGCAAACTATTAGTGACGTCACATTGAAAGCGAAACTTATTGACACATTTTGCATCATCACATCCATCACATGAACATTATCTATTTTATCGAATCGTCAATTACGGTTAATATCTCAACGTGAACGCCTATTCGTTAGCATGACTAGGGACTATCATTGCCTAGTATAATCGGAACGACTTGATAATGCCTCCACGGCTACCCAATAAATTTTATTACATCAAATTGAATTTCAGTTGATCCTAAAAATATCCAAGCGTCCTACTCCACTTTCCAATATCAAGGATTTCATATGGAATGCACTGTACCTTTCACCTTAAGAAAAGTCGTGAATAAACCGAAAAGAGTTGCAAAAACTACACAATAATAATGAAACAACTACGTTCACTGATTTCAATATTGATCGTTTTAGGTGCCAGACTGCAGTTGCGCCTTAGAATCCCGAGGTCACTCACATTTCATTTAAAACAAAACTGATTCACAACAATAACAACAACAACAAAAAAACAGTAAATAAATTCACAAATGGATGCCCAAAGCGGTACGGAATGCACACCTGGATTACCCAACAGCTTGCCGAATGAGTGCTGCACGCGCACTGATTACCAAGTGTACCGCTGCGATCAAAGTGTCAACTGTCATGCGCATTAATGCACCATGTTTACTCCGGGCTTTTTCGATTTTGAGTGCAACGCTACCATTTATAAGAATACTAGCGACCCGCCCTCGGAAACTGTAATTTATTATTGATTTCTCCACTATTTAATGGATGTTATTATACAAACAAAACCTTCCTCTTCAATCTCTCTTAAAAAAAACCGCATCAAAATCCGCTGCGTAGTTTTAAAGGTTTAAGCATACATAGGGATATAGGGACAGAGAAAGCGACTTTGTTTTATGGTATATAGTGATTTTTGCATTCAGCATACGTTTTCAGCGAGTTAAATTTTAATAGTCGCTTTCGCGAGATACCCGAGTAGACTTCTGTAACATAAACATTATCCAAAAAAATTCGTAACAAATAAAATCTAAACTTTGCTGATCGAGTGATCTTTCAACTGAGGAATTCTGGAAAAGCGCCAACGATTGATAGGGCGATGACCTTAAAAACGACATCGATTTTTTACGCTTAATATTTTAACTAAGTAGTTATGGTTTATGAATAGGTCGTATTGCGAAAGATTGCAAATTTTCCATTCAATGTTGCATTATAAATGTGTACTCTGCAAGAGCCCTTTTCAAGTTAAGACAGTGCACCAACACTATAGGAACTTGCTATCACTATTTATTAGTAGCACACGATTTGAGTTGTGTAGGGCTCATTATCAAATCAAGCTTTAATACGTCTATGAAAAGAAATAAAGACTTTAGCTACACTACAACTCAAAAATATGATTTATTTTTTAACTAAACTGACTATCACAGTAGAGATACCTACACATTTTCAGTAGATTGAAAGAGTCTTGTGTCCAATGGTGCATACAGAGAAAATTACGTATACATAGATGATATACTTATGTTAAATATCAGTTTTCTATATAGGTATTATTCTATATTGACTGGCCTATCTACCTGTTGATGATTCGGTTCGTACGTGGACCACACACTTTTATTATATGAGGTCGAAGTCTCAATACATGTCTCCTTCGGGGCAGAAATTGACAGGATAGCACTATACATTACGAAGTAAAAATTGAACGTAAACTTGCTACTAAATAATATAATTCATTAAATTACGCATTTCTTTGTATGTGCTATTAACCGATTATAAAAAACAGGTTTAGAAATTACCGATTTACCAAACTCTGTTTTGTTCTTGTTTAGATTATTAAAATCTTGTTAAATTATTGCCGTTAATGTGCTAATCCAACTTTAGGCTTTTGTATCGAAGTTTTAATTGAAATATTAATGGCTGCCTACCGCCAAAAACATATGACAGAATGGTAACAGCAAAATTATCTCAATATTTAACATAGTTTACCTTGTGTGAACAAGTGTTTCGAAATGAGGTCTAATACTTAAAATTTTGCATAATTTAGCAACGTAAATTAATTAATTCGTTGAGTAGACCTCGAGGATGATCCTTTTTATTTAATTCGGCGGCATGAAACTATTTTCTTTATTATTCTAGACGTATAGAACTGATTAGCTGCCGAAGCCCGAAGACGACATAGTGTGAATGCCGTTACCCATGTTGACCATCGACGTCGCCCAAAACACGTCATTACGGATCCTCCCAATCCACTAACGGTGCTTTTAGGTACCACAAGCACCGGTCACCATCCTCGTCGAACCTGTCGCT